CCGTCTGCCGAATTGCCGCCGAATAGCTGGACGTGCCACCCCTCTCCAGAGTGGCCGCCCCAAGCACCTGCTTGGCAAGCTGGTGCCTGGAGCCGGCCCTGCTTACATGACCCCATTACCATAGTAATGGAGCGCCTTGGAGCATTTAATGTATTTACCTGCACAGTGCCCCTGTGAGGTCGGGAAGCACTATTATCCCCATTTTACAGATGCAGAATGGGAACACTAACGTGCGTAAGGTCACACAAGATATCTGCAGCACAGCAAGGATTTGAAGCAGTCTCCTAAATTGCAGGAGATCACCCTAACCACCACCCCTGAAATACTGAACAGTCAAGAAATTCAAAAACACAAACTTAACTTTTGGAATTTTTGGAGTTATTAATTTAGTATTATTGATGTGAATGCTATGAATTTAATACATGACATATTAGGCTTAATGTTGCATTAATTTTAGCTTTTTGCATTTATTCTATATTTGTATGAAAATGTCTCCAAAGTCAGCTCAGTCCTGTTAAGAGCAAATGATTCCTTTTTCAAACTGATCACAAGAAGCATCGGTCTCCACTCTGCACAAATTCATGTGTCAGCAAGAGGCATTCTAAGTTTTTTTTAGCATGTACTTGCCACTGTGTTTCAGAACTCTTCACAAAAAAAGTTTAGTACGAATTTGTGGAGAAATCTACGTACTGTCTTGAACAAAAATGCAGCATGTAAAATAACACTAACCACCTTATTTTATTTCAGGGGTTGGTCGATCTCCTACTCACTAGTGGTGCAGCAACAGCTACAACTGTCACCTGGTACCATGTCAACAAGAAAGCAGCATATTTGATGTTCCCTTATTTAGCTTGGTTAACTTTGGCTTCTGTGCTCAATTACCGCATCTGGAAGGACAATAAAAAGAAGAAGCAATCTTAATACATAACCTTCTGGAAGAGAATATCAAGGCAGAAGATTTTTTTTATGCATTTCCCAAATAAAATTACAATCCTGTTTTACTGTTGCGTGAAGTACTTACTGTATTAGACAGTTAAAAATAGGTCATGTCTAAATACAGTCAGAGTGGTGTTCATTTCAACATTCAAATGCTGGTTTACTACACAGTCCGAATGGAATGTGTGCATGAGTGAATTTAATAGCACAGTAAATGAAGTGGTTTAATCTGCATGCTCTCCTATTGCCCGTGCTGTTGATTACATATAAAAAAAAATAATGTAATGGATAGCATTTTTAACTACTACTGGCAATTAATGTGAATTGGGGGCTGATTATGTCCAGAAACGAAAGTCCATTAATGACTTTCAGAAGATTCTCACATTAATTTACTCACTATGGGCCTGATCCTTCAGCCATATACCACTTGGCATAGTGCTTATTCCTGTCAGCTGTTGTACTGACTTCAGTGTCTTGTCTTCAAAGCATTTCTGTGCCTAGAAATGTTTATGATTAGGCCTTATATGGAGGACGAATTCCCATACTTGTGCATATAAACTTCAAGAGCATAGTATAGTTTGCAGACTGGACCATTATAGCTGAGAGGTAGGGGAAGGTTTCAAACATATTAAACAATAAGTAACTTACTATTCTTACACCATGATTTTTTTTAAAGGGCTAAAGCCAAAAGGATGCTGCAACCTAGAAGAAAGCTGCCTCCCCACCCCATTTCCTTACCACTACAACTAGTGTAATTTACTTGGCTAAAAAAAATAGACAACATCAAATCCAGAGCACACAGTCAGGAGCTGATGACAGCACCCAAAGAGTATCCAATGAGCACCTGAAGAAAAAAAAAAAAATTAAAAAAATAAAAATAAATAAAATCACAAAAAAAGGAATTAGTGCCTTTAACCTGCTCTGCTTGGAACCTGGATGCTTCGCTACCAGACTGCTAGTATTCTCAGCTATCATCAGAGCAATCTGCCTCCCCTGGAGGGATGTCTGGCTGCTGGTGGCCCCAATCAAATATACAGGCATCTTATGACCATCCTGCTAAAATATTTACCTAGGTACCTGCTTATCTGTTCCTCCTTCAGCTGCTTGGAGACAGGTACAAGATGTTTCTGCTGCTTCAAGATTAGTGTTGCAGCATTAAACCAGAAGACATTGAGTTGTAAATGGCTGAACTAGAAACAGGAACTTTTTGTAGAAGGTACCTGGGACAGGAAGTTTTACCTTTCCTCTATTGCTAGCACATTACTACTACTTTTATGACCCTGCTTCCCGGTCCCCCCTTACACAATTAGGATTTAAACCTTCCTCTTTGCCCCAGATCCACAGCAATTACCAGCAGTGACTGATTTTCACTTGCCCATTTTATGGCCAGATACCCTGAAATTGCCTCTCTCCTTCATTGCCATGTTTCCTAGGTATATCAAACAACTTTAAACTAAGCTTCTTAGAAATCTGAAATATTATGTGGTAGTGCTTGGCAGACATTAGTTCTTCAGACTGAACATTAGGAGGATTTGCTTTAAAAAAAAAAAAAGTAGTTCTATGGCATGATCAACCCTTTTCTACATGAAGATTGAAAGATAACTGGTTATATTCCGCAAAAAGAACAGGAGTACTTGTGGCACCTTAGAGACTAACAAATTTATTTCAGCATAAGCTTTCGTGGGCTACAGCTCACTTCTTCAGAGGATATTCCTTCCTTCCTGGATATTAGTGCAAGGTGATATCAGTGCTAGAAGCTATCTATGATTGCTGCAGGTTAAGATTGTTTAAAATTTTTACACTTTGCTTAAAATTTGAAATTGATTAGTTTTTGTTACGTTTATCAAAAAATAAAAGTTAACTAATATTACCTTTAATGCTATAAGACTTCAAGAAATAAATAATGCACATATACAATGTAAAATATCCCTAAGGTTTAGTGTAAGATGTTGAAGTCTTCGAGTTTGTTAGAAGAGACCCTTATATCATCTAGGCTGAAGGCCATTAAATTTCACCCAATTACCCCCATAGTAAGCCCAATAGCTTGTTTGACAATAGTGTAACTTGTGTTGGCTAAAGCAGAATACTAATGTGAACTGTTCCTCAGTACACACAAACAGTTTAATTTGGCCAGTACTACTTAGGAAGGGGTAAAATTCTGAGCCATAGCTTTTGATACAGACATTGCCAAAGATTAAAAGGATCCTTCGTTCTTGCATTGTTGACTCAAAATAAAATACTGTTCCATGTCTTTTCAGACCTTTGGCAATTGTAATGGCCCCTAAACCACCCCTCTGACCTCCCCATTATCTCATTGAACTGCAGTTCTTCATTAATTATTCATTTTGCTATCGGAGATCAAATCCTTAGATAGGCAAGACTCCCATTGACCTCAATGAGAATTTTGCCGGATAATATTCAACCTTAACTGCATTGCAAAAGGAATGAATTGTTTGATATGTGATAGAGGAGCTACAGTTTCCATCTAATTTTAGCATTATCATGCATGCTAAACAGCTCAAAACTACTAGATTGGGATATATTCATAGACCTCATTCAACTTTAAAAAGATGACAGCAGCTATAACTAGTTTTTGAGAAAGTATAGTGACCTTTAATTGAAAAAACTAACTCTAATGTTGCTGTAATACTTTATTAAAAACAAGCTTAATAAATGTTCACTCATTGGAGTTATCAGATGCAACCCTAAAGTAAGTTGCTTTACATCAATTTGTGGAATAAAGCATATTAGTGCTTGAAGACAATGGTATTATACAGAGAGGAAGAGTGATGCATGACCTCAAACATTTTGATACAAGAAATTATTACTCTAATGCAGGCACAGAAAATTTGTACAACACTCCTGCTATGCAAATAAGGTATACTAGGCTACCTAAGAAACAACAGCTGATTGCTCTAGTTACTATTATACTTTTCTGAGCTTCAATAAGACATTTAAGTCAACATAAGTTGATGATTAGAACTAAACAAGACAAGAAAACGCAGACTACTGATTACAAGTACAGTATATGCCCATTCATCTGATGATAAAAGTTTTTCTTCATTACCATTATAGGAAAATAATTATATTTCAGTTCTATGAGCTGCTTATGCAAATATTGCTGTTAAGCATATCTGTAAAGGAAACAAATAACCAAGTCGCGCCTTCTACGCCTAAACAACGTATGTCACATGACAATTATTTGTTTCATCCAGAAATAGGGTGCTGAAGACATCATTAAAAAAGGTAGGGTGGTATTTGCAGGCTCTATCACAGTCAGGGTTGAAGTTCACCTCCAGGACCTGAGGTTGCATAGTTCTTTTCCCTGAAGAGAAACAAAACACATTACATTTTACTACAAGGTATACATGAGACGCTGGGAGTCGCCTCCCTTTGCTGTAGCAGAGACCGTAGAAAGAGGCTGAAGATGGTCAACTCTTACTACATACCCAGGTAGGCTTTTTTGAGGCCTACAGTATGAGGAAGTGAGACACCAAACCCATTTCTGGGGCAAATGCCATAATCTGAGGCCTTGGCCACATGAGAAAGGTGCACCGGTTTAACTAGATCAGAATTAGTGCGTCTTTCTTATTTAACCACAACTTTGAGATGCACCTTCCATAAAAGACTGTTTCCCCCTTTATTTTTAGGCACCAAGCCTCCTTTGCTCTTTGTATTGCTCTACTGTTCTCTCTAGTTCACCTGGTACAGAAACAGAGCTGGGTTTCTCAGCTGCAGCACAAAATCTCTCCTCTCCCGCTTATAGGGGACATGGTGATCAAGATTCTAGTCTGACCTCCTGTATAACACAGGCCACAGAACCTCCCCACTTAGCCATCTACTTCCTCTTGCCCCTAAAATAAGGTCAGGAGGTTGAGTTTCCCTTTTGAATTGCAATAATGTTTGAAGAGTAAGAAATATGCATTTTGTACAAATAAAGACAAAAATGTAGATTCTCTTTCCTGCCTGTATTGATTATAGTTGAATTAAACCACGGGATTTATTACTTTTAGTAAAGACTGCTCTCCTTGTATAGGTGTACCACCACAACAATAGGAAAGGGTGCTCATTGTTAGAATTAACAGATAGCTGCAAAGCATTATGCCCACCCATCTTCAAATGTTTACATCAGAATAGCAGAAACAACGGCAGAATAGAGCCAATACAAAGAATTAGACAGATGCATGGCAGCAGCTCCACTATTATTACTAACAAGGAGACCAGAGTCCACCCTCACACATATGCAACCCAAAAGACATCAAAACAGTCTGTTTAAGTATAAACATCATGGAGCCCGGCCTACTTTTTTTTAAAACAGCAAAAATTTTGAGCAACAAAACAAGGAACAAAAGCATCTTACCATCTCTGGTAGTATCCCACTTAAGCATCAGGTCAATGGCATATACTGCTCGCGATGATGGATAATCACAGATGCCAAACGGTGCAGGTTTAGCTGAAGCAGCTTGGAATAATTCAGCAAATGCCTTAAAAATCTCTGCCTATTGCCAAAGAGAAGTCAGTTTCTGAATAAAATGCAAATAGTTGCGAGAACCCTATAAAAGGGATTTTTGTAGTTGAAAAGTTTCATTTAGGAGTCAGATCAAACAGTGTAAATGCCATCACAAATGACAAGCCTGCAGACAACAAGAACCTTCAGCATTTCAGTAAAAAAAAAGTTTCTTCAGGAATAATTTAATATTTGTTCCACCACGTCTAAGATTTTCAAAAATAGGGACCTGAAATTAAGATTCTAGAGCTATATTTATGTACCTAATAACTGGTCTGATTTTTATAAGTGCTGAGCACCCAGAATTTACCTCATTACTATATACTACAGAAAACCCTAAAAAGAAAAAGTATTAGAATGCTGGAATTGAATCCATGTCTAGGTCATTTTGTACAGCACTACACTTCTGAATCTACCACAGTGCGTGGAGTGCAAATTAAAAAGGAAAGGAAAGTTGTTCTGTGAATACCAACAGTTACAGCTCAGAAGTTTTGGCATCCAGTTGAATCAATCAACTTTTCTCTCACCATTTTACAAACATACAAAGAAGATTCCAAAGTTTAAAAAAAAAAAAACCTGAACAATTTCCAGTCTGAACACACAGTGATGACATTTCTGGATATAATAGGGAGACCAAATAAAGAGATGTAAAGGAGTTATGGTACATGGGAGTTTTTAGTATCTAAGTCACATTAGAGTAAAATACACCTCCTGTAAATGTAAAAAAAGTCTAATTCTTGGTACTTTGCCCAGAATACTCCTTGAGGGATACTTGGTCTGCCACTGTTTAAAAAAGATTTTCCTTTGTGTAATTTTAAGGCTTATCCTACAACCACTCTCATACCCTGAATAGCTTTACTTATGTGAGTAGTTCTAGTGAAATCAGCTGAAAAACATGAGTAAGCATCTGCAGGATCAAGTGCTTAGTTAACCACCTCTGTAATCTGGCTCTTGATAAATAGGAAAACAAACTATTGACTAGTTACCTTTGCATTCAACTTGTTCTTTTGAGAGCCACCCAACACCACAAAATAACCCTAGGTGACTGTTTCACAATCCACCCTCTACTCATTTTCATTTGTAGAGTTATCACATTTGGAGCTTCCGCACAGCTCTACAGTTAAAACATATCTCAGCACTAGGGAATTGGCAACGTTAGAGCACCTTTGTGGTGACAGGACATTAAGGGGTCTCTGCCTTTTATATTAAGCTCGGATAACATGGAATTCTAAACTTGTGGAGATTAAGAATTAGCTTGGACAGCATCTGAAAGTTCAACCCAAAAGGAAAAATTTTAGTTCAATAAGTTTGGCTAAGGGTCTGAGTTATAAGAACAGAAACAGACTTTTAAACTATTCATTTACCCCTTTGTTTTCTTGTAGTAAAAAAACCCAAAGGCATCCAAATGTAGGCTCCGTGCTAGCCAACCTTCTAGTATAACGACCTCAAGAGCAGTAACCAGAAAGGTGTACTTGGAAAGTACTCATTTCCATCTGCTATGCCAGAATGGCTAGTGTGTGCGTTCACACCCTTCTGAACAGCCTGCTGTGTACTACACAGCAAAAAGGACCTAAATTCTGTAACAAGGTCTCGGAGCTGTTTTGTTAGAGTGCTGCAGCTACAAATTAAGCAGCAGCTTTATGTAGTTAAGAGACTAAATATGAAAATAAATACTAAAACCTCAATCGGTACAGTAGATGCTTAGTTATTTTGATATTATTTCCCTATCTTGGGGCTGAGGTCAGCAAAGTTTCTGAATAACTTTGCTTAAAAGTTCAGTAGCAAAAAAAAAAAAAAAAATTAACTGCGTTACTATTTAAATTGTCATCTTCCAATATCAGTGTTAACCTACTGAAATGGAAGGACCGGTCCACATGTTAAGAAGTACTGTTTCAGGCTTCATGCAGATTCATGTGAATATATCATTGCAGCCACTGACTGTTTACAATCCAGGTTTTACCAGCCTTTGAGATTGTGACAAATTAGTGTTTTAAATGAAAGCTTAGATTCTATGCACCATTCTGCAACTAGGGGTGAGTCCTCCAACAAGCTCTGCAACATTTTGGAAACATACAGCGTTCTGCTTCCACTGTCTGTCCATCAGTACCAATTTTGTTCCCAAGCACAGTATACCATGACAACTTTTCATGGAGAAAATTTAAAACCCTAATAGAATAGTAACATAGATAACTGAGCATTTTGTATTTCCAGACTTTAAAATTCTGGGACTACTGGCCTTTGCTACACTGAAGAGACATTTGCTCACTACTCACTAACCTGATAAAAACACCTGAACCTTTGAAAAACACCTCTGCCTAAAAGAAAAATTTAGTGAACATCTTATAGGGATAAGAGGGATTGGTGACTTACTTGCACAGTTTTCCAGGAATATTCAGGATATTGCTTCTCAAACAGAGGAATAAATTCATCATAGTGAACCTAAAATAATTTAATGGCATTAGAGATTGGTTTGCTAGATTATTCCCACCAGGAGCTAGGATTTTATTTATTTATTAATTAAAGGAAGGAGTAATGAGCTGCAGAACGTATAAACACACATAGTACAAATTCCAAATAAGGTCCTGGGGAATTTCACTGCCTAGAAAGTGCAGAAATGAGAACTATTTGTTCCAAGCTTTTCCCATTTCTACCAGACAGTCCTTTTTACTATGTGGTGAAACACTACACTAAACTATCAGTTTGGGAGTGGTAAGATGTCCTTTAATACTTTTTATATGGATTTGATTAGAGATGTAAAATTTGTGCCATAATCTATGACTATTTCCTCTGGATCCCCAATCTGGGAAAACAGCTGCATCAGAACAGGTATAGCCTGTTAAGTTTGTTTGGGTGAATATGCACCAGGGCATCTGGTGACAGTCGCAGATAAAGGATCAGCATCTTGATTGACTGAAGACATTTGCTTTTCATGTATCACTTGCTTACCTGTTTTAAGGTTACACCAGAAGCATAGTTCATGACAGTAAAATGCTTCTCATAGTCGTCCAAGTCATCAAGTGAAAATGCGCTAACAAATAAAGGAAAGAGATAGTGTTAATTACATACAACCTTGGAAAAGCAAGGCACCACAATTTAACACCGCTAACTCCTTCACTCCTAGAAAAAAAGGTTATTACCGATTTGAGAACCGCAGCCAAAAAACATCATAAGCATACAGCTTGAGTGGCTTTACGGATCGCAGAAGCACAACGTAACGAATGTCAAATTTAACCATCCCCACATCTTCCCGATGAAACAATACTGGACTCTCAATATACTTAGACACTACCTAAAACAAAAACAGAGATTGAACACAATTAAACCCTAAGGAATGAAGATGCACAATAGGTGATGGCAAACAATTATCAGTGGGTTTGGACAGTCCAAGATATTCTACCAAACATACATTAAGCCAAGTTTCCCTTTTTAAAAAGTTTCTCAATATAAGCAATGTAGCCTTTGTTTGTAACCAAATAGCCTGAGTGCACTCTCTCTTATCAGGTCAGTATACAGAACTAAAGTACTACCCTCCTCATTCCATTGAAATCTTCTATTTAAATTCTCTGCTTACATTATAAACCTTTTCATAAGATCCAATCCAACCCAACATTTGTTCCTCCTCAGATGACCGACATCTTCCCATTGTCCAAGGATACTTTTCACCACCAAAAAAATTCAGGCCCTCATTTGTAATGCAATTATATGGCCATGCAAATGGCAGCATAATTGCTTTTACTCTGAAGTTACCTTTACTCCAACTCCTCAGTTCCCTCAGCCCCATGAGCTGGTGTTCATTTATCTAGGGGGAGAGGCGGCGTGTGACAGAGCTACCAATGGACAAAGTAAGTATGGAGGGAGGGGAGATAGTGAGCCTTCAGGGTATGGGGTGAGGAACAAGGGCAGCCATCAAGGGATGCCAGCAATGCTACCTGCAGCCTACCCAGGGATGCCATAAAAGTTAAGAATGTCCTGCAGCATATTAGACCAGATTCATAATACCTAGGACCTTGATTATGTTGTTAGAAACACATTTTCCCTTTTTTAAAAAAGATGCTTGATAACATACAAAACAAAATGCTTTGACTCCCTAACTACACGCTGCTTAGTTTTGGTTTACTGGTATAGAAACACAGCTCTAAGACTGCTTTTAAAATAATGGCTAGTTTACAGAAAAACAAAACAGATTTTTAAAGATGTATTCTATCAAAAAACAAACAAAACAGTCTCACTTTATATATTATCAGCTTTCTTCTGAACTAAAGTGATGCTTCATGCATTTTTTCTTTGAGGTTGGAATTCCAAAAAAGGCATACAGTCCAAAAGAGAAATTCTATTAAGTCATAAAGCTTATTTGACAGTCTGATGTAAGACCACACACTGTTGGCTTCCTATAAAAAGCCATGTGATGCATCCATCATTGGTGGAAGAAGCATTTTGTGCGTATGAACAGTCATACTAAGAGAAATGATCAACTTGAGGGAAGCAGCAATAACTTCCTTATATTTACAGCCAACAGAAGCTACATGAAAGTGAGAATTCATCATCTTCTTAGATTTCTTACTGAGTAGCATAAAAGCAGCAACACATTTAATCATTCATTACTGTCAGGGAAAATTCTATTTCTGTCCTAAAGAAACAGACATGGTCTACTACAAGCAAATAGAAAAATATTCTAACACTGCACTGCACAATGCTAAGAGATTTCAATATGAATTCATCAAGAGTTCATAATTTTAAATGTGCAAATGCTCACAAACATATACCAGCTATTACAACCTCTTGAACGAAATTAACCCCCCCCCCCCCCCCTTTTTTTTTGGATGCTCCTTGTAAGGATAAACATTTAAACAAAACAAAACAAAACACCACCACTTGCTTCAAACCAAGTGGGAAGCCCACTTTCCTCTAACCTTCGGGCTGCTTTCCCTGTGCCTGATGATGATGTTAAGATTGTTGGTGATGTGGGTGTCTAGGCTTCTGGCCAAGTTCCATGGTTTGCATATCCAGTGATTGTCTTCTCCCCTACGATAAAAAAAATAAATAAAAAAAATACAACCCAATCAAGGCCACAGCATGTCAGTGCGCACCTCATTTATCTTTAGATATTTTACTGGCAAACCTCCACTCTGAGCCACATGCTGGTATTGCCTAATGCATTACCAATCCAAGTGTTCTTTTTGATGCAGCGGGCAAGAGTGCAAGAACCAAGGACACCTGGATCACAGCTGATCTGAGCTAGGATTTTGGGGGCTCTTGCTTTCTTTTTCAGCAAGGGCCTACCATATTTCCACTGGTAAATCCCTTTTTCCTTCATACATACCATGACTACATCAGAAGTGCTTGTTTGTAGGTCAAGAGACCATTCTGACCAGGCAATCACGAAGTTTGAGAACATTCTAGGTGGGTGCTTTAAAACTTGTAGATTAGGTTCCCCACGCCCACCTCTGAGCCAGCCAAATTACATAACATACAGCTATTCTCTTGGGGACTGAACACTGAATATAGTAATATGAATCCCTTGCCCAAATGCATCTGTCAAGCTCAGGAGAGCATACCTTCTCACTCTCTTTCCACTACCTAGAGATCTGAAGAGGCTGGACTCTTCGAAAAGCTTTGAAAAAGTAGGAGCGCTATGCATGTCTTTATTCTGTTCATGCTACTGAGCAATGGCAAGGTGACCCTGGAGGTCCTGCCTTCCCCAATGAATTTGTGAAGGCATGCAGAGGTGGGTCTCTGGGTAATCTGAAAGCTGCCTGTGGTTAAGTTTTAGTACTAGTGTGCAGTACTAGTTTTAGTAAAGGATCTGTATTTTAACTGAGAGTTTATTTTGAAACTCCCTCCCCAACACACATGCACTCTGGCTTCGTGATCACCTCTTGCACATACTTGGTGTTAACCAAAAGTCAGAATACTACAGGCTAAGAACATACATTTAAATTTCCCCTCATGGCTAAGCCCATTCAGGAGGTAAGGAAACTATCTTGAGAAGAGAGGGAAGCAGCTAGATGGTTACAGTACCATCTATCAATCACAACCCCCAGAACCATCAGGGAGCTAACTGTGAGACAAAATAGGGATTATTTTGGTGGAAGAGTAAGACATTAACTCCCCCGAGTCCCTCACTAAGGCTATGTCTACGCTTATGGCAGTATGCAGAGTACAGGGACATGTGTAGCTACACACTGCAGTGAAAGGCAGGTGTCCACATTTGGCACTGCAGTGTGTAGCTACATGACACAGTGAAAGGTTCTAGCAGCCGGAGCCTTTCCCTGCTGTTGGAGCCTTTCGCTGTGGTGGGGAAAGGCTCTGCCAGCAGGACACTACCCTGCTAAAAATAGCAGTGTGGATGGGAGAAGCGCTGACTGGGTGTGTAGAGAGCCTGTGTATGGTATAAAACCTGGGGGGTTTGGGTGCCTAGGGCATTCTAATCTATTCTATTTGCCTAAGCCGTGCCTCACCATCGACACTGCTATTTTTACCGATGCTAATTGGGCATGGAGTGTCTGTACTGTAAACGTATCCTAACAGACAAATTCCTTGGTACTGTCAGGTCTCCTGGATCTGGAGGAGATTGCTGTGACAGGAAGTGCTTATGAGTAAGGTACCACAGAACGCCTAATGAGAATCAGAGTCAGTTTTCTTTTAGCCTCGCCAAGGGAGTCCAAAGTTAATCCTAAATTTGACTTCCACTTCCACGTGGAAATGTGTTTTAACCAAGAAAATTGGGCACAATCACTACCCTAGTTTAAACTGCTTTTAATTGCCATTGGCACACAGAGAAAGCTATCTGCCCACACAAAAGTTGGGAATCTTAGTACATTTGTTAAATGGAATTTTGCCACTGACTTCAATGATGTCATGATTCCACCTTATATATTTCAAGGTATGTCACATTATATATTTTGGAGTTAAAAAGAATAAAGTAAAGCCCACACTTTTCAGATAAAATCCACTAGAACATAAGTGAAATGCAGCTAGCACAAATTAATGGCAGCAAAGTAGCTGTTTAATCCAATTAACCCAAAACATGCACTTGCTGGTACTTGGGAGAAAGTTGGTTAGAAAATTGCAAGACAAGCAGCAGCAATAATATGGCCTACCTCCTCTCACGTTGCTGAAAATAGCTGATGAACTGGGGTAATTCCGTGTGAAGGTTAAAAGTACGAGGCAGCCATTTTGGCCCCTCCGTCCCTCCAACTCGTCTAGATATGGATGCTAGGCAATCCTTGACTGTCAGGAGATTCTCACATGGAAACTGATTCAACATCACATGGGGCCTCTCTTCACTTAGTTTCCTACAAGAGATGGAGGTCACTTAAAAAGACCACTCCATGGAACAGAGCTTTTTATATGGCAGCCGGATAATTTGTACTTGCAAGGAAATAGCTGTCACCTGTAATCTTTGAAGTGGGAAAAGTTGTAGAGGATGTCTGCTTCTCCCTCATCTTCAGTGAACTCAAAACGTGGATGTTTCAAGTTGTTAAGGATTTGGGGAAGGTCTGTGTAGACCCTGGGAGAAAGGAAAAGATACATACATGCTTTGTCAATGTGAGAGCAGTTTCCCCTCTTGAAACCAAAACTAATGGCTATCTTAATAGAAAACATGCAACACAAAATAACTACACTTGTGAATTGACTAACTTCAGAGGCCAATTTTTTTAAAATTATGTAAACATACTTGATGGTAAGTAGAAAGAGCTGAGCACCCTCAGTTCTTATTCAGAGCATCAGGTCTTTATTTTCCACATTGAAAAATTTAAGCCTGCAGAAAAGTCATATTCCAACGCTTGCCTCATCGCAGTCCTCCTAACGAGGAAGTGAATTTGATCTTAGAGAGTCAGAAGCAGCACTGCAGCATCAAGTAGGGTTGGACACAGCAAACCCTCGATGAACATGTTCACATTTAAAGCTATTTTTAAAATGTAGGAAAAATCAGTTACAAAGCATAAACAAAAACTAAATGAGATGTTTTGAGTCTGCTACTTTAAGAGTTTCCAACACAAAATCTCAGTTTAAGATTATTTGATAGTTTAACAAGAGACCTTGCTATTTGGCAAGTCCAAATAACTCAGCAGCAATGCAACCTGGAGAGAATTGTAGAGTGGCTTTGTGACTTGGAAGTTAGACTAACAGTTCAAGATGTAGAGGGGAAAAAAAAAAACATTAAAGAGAAGGGGGAGACAAACAAAAAAAATAGCTCAAAATTGCCTCTGCAAAGGTTTAGACAAAGTGTCAACAACAGCTAATCACTTCCTCAAAGAGCCATCACATTTTATCTCCTCCCCATTTCTACTGGTTCGTGATGCAGAGTCAGGCTATATATGACTTTCCCCCCCATCTTTTCTACTGCTATCTAATTAGAGGACACATCAAGGGATGTGTCTTTGCAACTGGACCCCTTATACATTCCATGATTGTTAAGGGGGAGAAAAATACATCCTTCAGGAGAGAAAAGTGTCAGATGTTTATTCATTGCGGCCAAGTTTTACACAACTCCAAGTGTAACATAGTATACAAATTATGTTGTAAGGTATTTGTACATAATGCTAATATTCAATTAAAAAAGTTGTGAGAATTTGAATGATGTAAACATGATGACAAAACATTAATCAATCGGCCATTAGCATTGAAGCAGGCCACAGGCCTTATGAAATGCTCTGGTGGGACGTGTACGGCCTATGGGTGGTAGATTGGGCACCCCGACCTAAGTCAAGCTTTCATAAGTTAGGAAGTGCCAGAACTGAGATTGCCTGTGCAACCTCAATTCAGCTGCCGTGTGCCTATCCATTGGATACAGTCTTTAATTACATGACCACACAGTGTTTTTCCCCACATGGCTCACAAGCAAGGTTTGGACCCATGATAAGAACAGGGCCTTCAGTTCCACAGCACAGACCTCCCTTTCTTGAGCTACAGGAGTAAACGGTAGCAGTACTAGCTTATTATCCTTTATGTGAATAAGCCCCTAGAGCAGGGGTCGGCAACCTTTCAGAAGTGATGTGCCGAGTCTTCATTTATTCACTCTAATTTAAGGTTTCACGTGCCAGTAATACATTTTAACGTTTTTAGAAGGTCTCTTTCTAGAAGTCGATAATATATAACTAAACTATTGTTGTATGTAAATAAGATTTTTAAAATGTTTAAGAAGCTTCATTTAAAATTAAATTAAAATGCAGAGCCCCCCAGACCGGTGGCCAGGACCCAGGCAGTGAAAGTGCCACTGAAAATCAGCTTGCGTGCCGCCTTTGGCACGCGTGCCATAGATTGCCTACCCCTGCCCTAGAGCACAGTATGGAAACATTTTGCCAGTTTGTTACACAATTATTTGTGGAACAGGACTGGAACATTGGGTATCAGTATTCCTGGGTTCCATTGCCAGTTCTGTGAGAAGAGTGTCCTTTAGTGATTAGAGCAATGGATATAAGAAGCATAGCCAGGAACATAATTTGGTACATTCATTCTGAAAGGCAGCGTGGTTGAGACTTGGGTCTGTTGTATTACATAGCTGTGGTCTAGTCACAGCTCTGCCTGAAATAAGGTAATACAGGTTGCATAAGGTTAGCTGTATGACAGGTCAATGACGGTTGCCTGCCTTGGGGTAGGAATATGAGGCCCTCGTTCATAATTGGGGCACAGATATATTAACATCAGACACTGGAAGAGCTGGGGGTAGGAACTCCATATATATATATTATATAGGAAGAAAGCCTTGTAGTACACTTGTTGGAAGGGGCAAACAAAGATCCCAATGACATTAGTGGAAGTCATTGGCTAGAGTATATTCTGGGGCCACTAGGGGAAGCTATTGCCTTCCTTTGCTCCCCCTACAGCTTGCACTCACCAGATTTAATTTAAATCTACTTACTTTACAAAATGGTGGGCATCACAGCATGTACCCATGGAGACACTACCATCCACAGCCTCAGCATGGACACGTGGCTAAACTCTAGCCTAACCAGCAGAAGGAACAGGCCCTAAAGCTGGGTGTATATCAGGTATGGTTTTTCTTCAAAGTAAAATCCCTCCTGCAGCCGCAGAAGAGAACCAACGAATGGAAAAAACAGTTATCTACTGGGTTCTAGGCTGAAAGTTTTTACAGATTCTGCACTTGTCCTTTCTACGGGACTTCCCCAAGCACTTCACACAGCTGTCATGGGGGTCACTAACAGGCACTGGCCTGTTGCATGACAAGCATGGTTTGAAGCCGGGGGAACGGGGAATGCCCCACTCTGGGGCAAAGTCCCAACCGGGACCCTAACTACCAAACTAACCTAACACTTAACTTAATGGCTAACTAAGTACCAACCTACTATATACAAAGAAGATCACCAATGAGTTGTAAAGAACTGCTAACGCTCTTGCAAAGCAAGACGAGGCGCTCCGACCAACAGTCACGGGCGGTAAGAAAGAACTGAGAGTGTGTTAGGCCGGAAGCACCTACTATACCAGTCCATGAGCGTGGCACTCAAGGGGGCGCCACAGCTGGCCCTACGGATACCGCGACAGCAAAAATCTCTGATGACTGTGCATGTGGGAGTGCACACACCTAGAATGGAACTAACACAAGCAAGCACTTGAAGAAACTAGTGCTGTAGATTAATTGCAGTTAACTCATGGGATTAATTTAGTACCAAATGCGCTAAAGATTCATATGCCCCTTCATGCTTGAACCACCATTCCAGAGGACATGCATCCATGTTTATGATGGGTTCTGCTCGATAGCGATCCAAAGCAGCGTGGACCGACGCATGTTCACTTTCATCATTGAGTCAGATGCCACCAGCAGAAGGTTGATTTTCTTTTTTGGTGGTTCGGGTTCTGTAGTTTCCGCATCGGAGTGTTGCTCTTTTAAGACTTCTGAAAGCATGCTCCACACCTCATCCCTCTCAGATTTTGAAGGCACTTCAGATTCTTAAACCTTAGGTTGAGTAATGTAGCTATCTTTAGAAATCTCACATTGGTACCTTCTTTGCATTTTGTCAAATGTGCAGTGAAAGTGTTCTTAAAATGAACAACATGTGCTGGGTCATCATCTGAGACTGCCATAACATGAAATATATGACAGAATGCAGGTAAAACAGCAGGAGACATACAATTCTCCCCTAAGGAGTTCAGTCACAAATTTAATTAACACTTTTTTTAAATGAGCGTCATCAGCATGGAAGCTTGTCCTCTGGAATGGGGGCTGAAGCATGAAGAGGCATACGAATGTTTAGCATATCTGGCACGTAAATACGTTGTAATGCCAGCTACAACAGTGCCATGCAAACGCCTATTCTCACTTTCAGGTGACATTGTAAACAAGAAGTGGGCAGCATTATCTTCTGCAAATGTAAACAAACTTGTTTGTCTGAGCAACTGGCTGAACAAGATGTAGGACTGAGTGGACTTGTAGGGTCTAAAGTTTTACATTGTATTGAGATGGTTTTTTTTTGTAATTCTACATTTGTAAGTTCAACTTTCATGATAAAGAGATTGCACTACAGTACCTGTATTAGGTGAATTCAAAAATACTATTTCTTTTGTTTTACAGTGAAAATATTTGTAATAAGAAAATAAATACAAAGCGAGCAGAATATTTTGTATTCTGTGTTGTAACTGAAATTAATATATTTGAAGATGTAGAAAACATCCAAAAATATTTAAATAAATGATATTCTATTATCAACAGCACAATTAATCACACGGTTAATCTTTTTAATCACTTGACAGCCCTAATGGAAACCTATCTTGGATCATCCTCCTCCATTTGGTGGCTAATACTGGGCCAAAAAACAAGGCATTTGGCCTTCAAAAGGAGGGGGGAGAAGGTGCCTGGCCCTTCCAAGTGGCAGTTGATGCCTCCGGTAAGTCTTCATTCTACGTCACTCCTAGACATCATGTTGTCAGGCTGGCTATTCTCCTCTACATTACTTTTTTTTTAGCATTTCCAATAAATCTTAATAGACTTCTGCTGCTAGCTGTGCATCAGACATCTGATCTCCTCAGCAGAGGAGCTGAATGTACTTTTGCTAGTCATTAATTCAATTGACAAGTGGGTCATCTTCTCCCAGCACGATATCATATTAATAAATCCATTTCTCATGAGCATTAATTCACGTAGCAGGTCTGCATCAGCTCTGTACTGTACTGCATCACAGGGAAATGCAAGTACTGATCTAAATATGGTTATTCTATACTTCTGGTTTAAAGAGTAAGCTCCCCCTCCACATGTACAATTTAAAAGGTGGATTAAAAAAAAAAAAAAAAATCCTCGAAGTACTAAAAATCTCCAGCTATCATGGAACACTGCCAAGGAAGTTCTTAACACTGACCTACATTTACAGACACATGGAAGATATTGCTGTAAGGAACAGTGCTCACCTAATGTTTATTTTAAAGTCATTCTTGTCTCTTTCAATGAGCACCAGGGCTCCTGAGCCAGCTGGGTGCTTTCATGAAAAAAAAGCCTCTGCTTTGTCAGGGCTTTTAAGATTAAGAAAAGACCAGGAAAATTCATACCCCAGCACAATACATTGTGTGTCCAATTTGGGCTGGGCCAAAGGACATTTATACTACCAAGGAGTTGAAAGTTAGGCATCTAACAGCACATACCCTCTACTCCATTAGCCACAGACATAGGCACCTTACAACTACCATACATTACAGACTACACACCAACCTCATCTTTAGCCTGTGTAGGGAGGATAGCCTTCCAGTACCTCCTTTCCCAAACGTAAGTCAACTTGGTTTTCCAGAACCATACAGAAAGGACAGCAGGTGGAAGTCAGGGCCAGTGTTGGATACACCACCATATTCACTCTTGCAGCTTTAACCTATCGTTCTGGCAATGGCATGAGCTAAACCATAAGATTCATGAATATATTATCCAACCCAGGAATTACAAGTGGTTCTTAAAATATGGGTTACAATGCATATAGCACCACAAGTCCTGTACTACTGCTTTTCTTGTTAGCTAAGCCACACAAAAGAATGAACCAAAGTGCATTCAAGGTGACTTCTCCCTTTTGACAACAATGATTGCAGGAAGCCTACTAGAGTCAGCAAACTCAAATGAGTCTGTGTTTCTATTACACCTCTACCCCGCTATAACGCGGTTGTGGGGAGCCTAAAATCCCTATCGCGTTATAGCTGAAACCCCGTTATATCGGGCTAGGGTGGCAGGGCTCCGGCGGTGATTTAAAGAGCTCTGGGCTCTGCTGCAGAGAGTCCCAGGCCCTTTAAATCGCCAGTGGAGCCCCGCTGCCACAGCACCAGGGTAGCGGCGGCAGGGCTCCCGTGGTGATTTAAAGGGCCCAGGGCTCCCCGCAGCAGCCGGAGTCCGGGACCCTTTAAAGCGCTGCCAGAGCCCCGCTGCTACCGCGCTATATGCAAACCCGTGTTATATCGGGTTGCGTTATAGCGGGGTAGAGATGAAGTTGCAAAGGAGACAATTCTGCACAAAGAGTAGGACCTTTTCACTCACTTCAAATGTGGAATGGATTATGTTTTTAAGATGCTGCAGCTCCACCCCACTCCCTAGAAGTCTGGGGACGTGCAAAGAAATTGAAAGGCAAAACATTTAAGATTGAAAAGGAAACTTTTATATGACAATACATAATTGAACTATAGAGCTCTCTGCCACAAGATATTGAGGACAAGAACGTAACAGGATTAAAAAAAATTAGACATTTGTCTGATAAACAGTTTATATTACATCCAGAGACAGACTTCCAGTACCTCCAGTATATTCTCTCTCTCATTCACACCAGAAAGTATTACAGCCTCACAATTAATGGCATAACCAATTATTGTGGCTTGCAAAAGACACTTCCCAACAAGCAGGTTATTCTACAAAGGTCCACTAGGGGGTATCTAGCACCTCCCTCTGAAGCATCTGGAACTGTCCAGGGATTAGAAACAGGATACCGGACTAGACAGACCTCCATGACAGTACTTTCTTCAAATTTGAATTGCAAGCGAACGGAAGTATTAGGACTTTTAAAACCTCTTAGTAAAAATGCACAAAATTTCATTTTAGAGCCTATGATACATAATAGGGTCTCTAACTGCAACTCTGATATTTTCCCTCTCTCAGTGTCAACAGGACAAGTCTTAAAATCCACCATAGAAACAAATTTATTTGGTCCTGCCTCAGTACAGAGGGCTGGACTTGATGACCTCTCGAGGTCCTACCAGCCCTACATTTTGATGATTCTAAGTTACATCTGACTGATTTAGAAGCTTTATAATTATACTTCAAAACCAATAAGGAAAGTAAGCAGCAGCATACATTTGAGTTTTCTGAACGATTTCCTCCCTACCACCTCCAAAACATATCGAAGCCTCAATATTCACAACACAAATCGGGATAGGGAAGAAGATTGATTGTATTTTTTATATATATCTAATGTTGTTGTGCAAACAACGTTGGACCAAAACACTGACACTGAGCAAATTAAGTTGTCTCCATGAAGGTCTGTGATGCCAAGAACAGGCCTGGGGTTGAGGGTGAATTGCTACAGCTGAAATCTGAAGAGACTGATCAAGACGAAAAAGATTTCTTCTTAGGACAGCTCTTTAAGCACTTTTGGAAGCTTTAAGGATGATTGATAGCACTGATGAGAAAGGCTAGGAAGAGATCTTAAGACAGAGAAAAAGAACAGACCTAACACAAATTGAAGGGTGTTTTATGTGCCAAAAATTTACGCAACAGCATGGTCTCTGAAATTTGTAACTGGCTTGGAAAGGAAGTAAAAAGCCAACATTAACCACAAATGAAGAAAATTCTCCCTGTAGAAATAGTTCAAACTACATAAAACAGTAGTCACTAACCTCCCCTTTAGAAATATTTGTTCTTTGTTTCCTTTATTCTATAGTTTTAAAATTTGTTCTATACACTTGTCACCTCCCCATGCTCTGAGTCCTACCTCTACTTTGAGGCAAGATGACTATGATACACCTTTTAGAAATTTAGATTGGAAACAGATTTCAGGATGTGAACTTTACCCCTCCCTGTACAAAAAGGGGCACAGAACATAAAACTCCAAATCTGGGCTGTGCACATCCCTCTGCTTTTGCACGCCCGCCTGATTTTCCTTCCAGCAACAATCAACAGGGCTTACATGGATACAGCGCTGCCACTGCCTGCGGGCTCACCAGCCCCAAGATAAACCCATTCCAGTGTCTGAAAGCCACTGAGGTGGGAGGAAAATGTCAGTGGTTCAACAAGGTATGGATTCCAATTCCTTCTTGGGATCCCTTACCCCCTACAACATGAAGCAAAGCGCCCACATAGCAGTTCGCAGAGCGGAGAAAGTTCTCTCACATACACACCACGCAGCTGCCTGTCATGCCAACAGGCCTATCCCACCCATGAAAGAAGCTGCATCCTACAATGGATTGAAATGTAAAACAACAGAGAGACTTTCTCCCTATGCTGGATTGTTGTAAGTTATTTTAGATGTTATCTAATGTCAAGAAGAGACCACACCAAGGACTGTGTGGGGGAAGATACGAGTACTGGTGATATTCCTTAAGAATGAGAAAATGTAGAGTATCAAGAATGCTGCAAGGCTTTGGATTCCTGCTGTGAATGGCATTTAACTGACATATTTACTTTGGGGAAAGAGGTGGTGTATGGAAGTTCTAATAGGGAAAAGACAGCTGGTATACTCAGCAATGTTATTGTTGTCCCTATCCTTACTATACTTCATATTCTGCCCCTCTAATTTTCAGTTGCTCTAAGTTTCAGTAATTGCATGCAGCAGCAATCACACTGAGAAACAAACACTTGCTTACCTCTGCAGGTTTTCCCACATAAGAGTTCAACTGTTTCTGGACAACTGAAACAACTGGGGGAAGCCCAACTTGAAAAAAAATAGACTTTCTATAATCCTCTCTCCTCGGGGTGGGGGGGAAGGTAACCTATGGATCTGTATAGCAAAACCCACAAAATAAGGTGCTGGGCTTCTAACTGAAAAGACGACAATTGCCATCTTTGTACTTTAGGTTTGTGTATCCCACTATACTGCCCATAATTAATTAAGAGATATGCTTCTATAACTTAACTGAAACAATCCTTTCATTCTATTGAGGATGGGTGGCTGGCCTCAAATACTGAAATCATACAAGAAGTTTAATGGCAAATCTCTTGTAGTAGCACATGTTATACTGGAGTGGGGCTATGGCTAAGAGCTATTCCCTGTAGCACCCAATGCCACCATACTTTTTGATCCTGGTCTAAAACACTATTAAACCACCTTTCACAACCAGGCCTTCCTCCAGCCCTCCTCTGAAAGATTAGGGCCATTCTGCTGCTGTTGTACAGAAAGGCATATATCCCAAAGATAGTTAGAAACGTGGGAAGGGGGGGGGGGGAAGGGAGAAATACCTGTATCCTCCCCAAAATTTTGTTGAAATAAAAAAACAAAAACACTGACCAGCTTTAACGTGACCCGTTGGTAGCAGTGGCAACTGAAGAGATCAGAAATGGAATGTGCGTGGTCTAATCTAACGAGGCAGCATGGGGAAACTTGTACCACTGCTACTGTTCTTGCTCTGTGGATAGGCTGAAGACTTAAAATGTTCCCCATGGACACTGAATTCACTAGTTAAAATAAATAAAATGTAGAGATTCCCAGCACCAAGATGTTGTGCTAAATTCCTTTAATCCTGAAGGTGGCATCTCTTCAAGAATCTAAAACGCAGAGTAAAAGTTATAAAGATGGCAATATCCATTGCTCCTAGACAGATTCCAACCAAAGAACTAGTAAGTCCTGCAGTCAGAATCCCAAGCATGGATCAATATAATGCCACCTGTGCAGGGGGGCTGGAACAATTCGTATAGTGGGGGTGCTGAGAGCCATAGAACCAAACTGTAAACCCTGTACATGATGGAAACCACTTCAAGCCAGGGGGTGCAGTGGCAGCACCCGCAGGACCTATGTGCCTGTGCCAACCTTCCGGAAAGGATAAGCCTCCTATTCAGGTTGTATACATTTCAACTGTCCTTCTCAGGAAGCATTTTAAAGGCATTTTGTTTGTAGATACATACTTGAAAATTTTATTCTTGTCATAAACTGGTGGATTTATAGCCACAGGTAGTTTCTCGTTGTTTTTGTTTAAAATAGCCTAAAAAACAAAGAAAAAAAAGAAACAAGTTTATGTTAAGTAGCACGAGCAAACTTCCATCAAACCTCACAATCTTAACATGTTAAAGGAACATGTACAGTAATTTAGGCCAAAATTGAGTTGATTTTTTTTTTTTTTTTTTTAAAAGACTGCACGAAAACAGAGAAGCAGTGAAAAAAGAAATAATTAAAAACAAACAAAAAAGTATTAATGCAAGAGGTAAAAAAATTCAACAGGACGTAAAACAGTGCTTGAGTGTTTTATTAGTGTTGGCATATGAAAGTTTTCCTGAAGCACAAACACTTCAGAGTTCACCCTCTCTCCCTTCTCCACTCCTATATTTAAAAAAAAAATTTTTTTTTAATCAGGTTAGATAGAAGTTCCCTTGCACACTTGGCCAATCACATTGCATTTTAGCAAAAGATAAACTCCCTTAGGACTCTAATTTGAGAAATCTACATTGATTTTTTTTAAAAAGACAGCCAAGGTATAGCTTAACTGTATAAATGATGGTTTAATGTACTGTAAACTGGGGAGGCAGCCAGAATATCAAAAGGTTGTGTTGACCTAACTCTGCTCCTATTAAAATAAATGGGAATTTTATCATTGACTTCAAAGGCATTAGTGGTAGGCTAACACTGAGTGCTTTGGAAAACCCCATCCATGTCGTCATTGGCATATTTGACTGGAAAAGGAAAATTGCCACACTCCATTCATTGCAAGAGCCTGCATCAAAGGCACTGTGTGGGATATCTGGGATGAGAAGCAAAGGGTCTCTCATGGAACTGGAGCAGCTGCACCTATGAATTAGTTCCTTTGGATACGGTTACAGCAGCTCTTGAGAATAGAGATTCCATTGTGACATACACTTGCGCTGTCCCCACACAGGACACTGCTGGGACAGGCAATCCAGTTCAGATACAGGATTCTAATCCTTACAATTATTGTTGCTAGGAATTCAACTACTTATAATTAAAAGGTGCAAACAAAAAGCCTAAAAAAGAACCCTAGCCATCTCTCTCCAAAAGAGATTGGATTGCAGGAATATATACTTGTTCATTAGCCCGTTTGTTTATAAGCCGACCCCCCAAAATGGATAGGTAAAAATAGCAAAAACTGTATGACCCTTTCATAAGCCGACCCTATATTTCAGGGGCTGGAAAAGTTTGGCTCCCGGCCTGTCATAACTATAAAGGGAAGGGTAACAGCTCTCCTGTGTACAGTACTATAAAATCCCTCCTGGCCAGAGACTCCAAATCCTTTTACCTGTAAAGGGTTAAGAAGCTCGGGTAACCTGGCTGACACCTGACCCAAAGGACCAATAAGGGGACAAGATACTTTCAAATCTTGGGGGGGGGGGGGGAAAAGGCTTTTGTTTTGTGCTCTTTGTTTAAGGGGTTGTTCGCTCTTGGGACTGAGAGGGACCAGACATCAATCCAGGTTCTCCCCATCTTTCTAAACAAGTCTCTCATATTTCAAACTTGTAAGTAAAAAGCCAGGCAAGGCGTCTTAGTTTTACTTTGTTTTCTCAACTTGTAAATGTACCTTTTACTAGAGTGTTTATCTTTGTTTGCTGTACTTTGAACCTAAGACAGAGGGGGGTCCTCTGAGCTCTTTAAGTTTGATTACCCTGTAAAGTTATTTTCCATACTGATTTTACAGAGATGATTTTTTTACCTTTTTCTTTAATTAAAAGCCTTCTTTTTAAGAACCGGATTGATTTTTCCTTGTTTTTAGATCCAAGGAAGTTAGATCTGTATTCACCAGGAGTTGGTGAAAGGAAGGAGGGGGGAAGGGTCAATTTCTCCTTGTTTTAAGATCCACGGAAGTGGGATCTGTATTCACCAGGAGTTGGTGAAAGGAAGGAGGGGGGAAGGGTCAATTTCTCCTTGTTTTAAGATCCAAGGAGTTTGGATCTGTATTCACCAGGGAATTGGTGAAAGGTTTCTGAAAGCTTCCCAGGGAAGGGAATGGTGGCAGCGGACCAGAACTAAGCTGGTAGTTAAGCTTAGAAGTCCTCATGCAGGTCCCCACACTTGTACCCTAAAGTTCAAAGTGGGGATACAGCCTTGACACGGCCCGTCAGAGTAAGCCACTGGCGGGTCAGGATGTTTTGTTTACTTGGAGCGTCTGCAGGCACGGAGGATCGTGGCTCCCACTGGCTGCGGTTTGCCGCTCCAGGCCAATGGGGGCGGCAGGAAGCGGCGCAGGTCAAACTTGCGGACGTGGCAGGTAAACAAACCGGCCCGCCAAGGTGCTTACCCTGGCCGGCCACATGCCAAAGGTTGCCGATCAGATATTCAATTCAATGATTCCATAGAGTTTAAAATCATCAAATTTTGGTGTAGACCCGTTTCTAAGCTGACGCCCGCTATTTGATGCGTCACTTTTTTACCAAAAATATTCGGCTTATGAACGAGTATATACGGTACTTCTTGTGCCCACTGAGAAAGAAGTCTGCACTTGAAATTGTAATCTTCTGCTCTTAAACTACTCCAAAATACTACTGCAGAAATCAAATTACTCGGTGTTAATAATATCCCAGTTTAAGTTATAGCTTTTCTGATTACTTTGTTGTACTGTTAGTAACAGTGAGATGATTAGTGATCCAGCAGCCACATGCTTCTGTGTTCGAAGCATCATGTTTGTGACTCTTCTACACAAAATATTAAAGCCTTTCAGATCAATGTAAGAGGAAATTGGTCTTCTGATTCAAGGCAGGACAGATTACTATTGTAAATTTATGCAGCAGACTTTGAAGGAAACATCAGTAAAGTAAGATGCCATAAAAGTTTAATAAACTGTAAATGGTTAGTTACAAATTATAAATAAAATATTTTCAAGTTGGAGAAACTGAGTGAAGTTAGTTGTAAAAATACTTTTTTATGTAAAATATGAGTTGCAAATGTGCTCAGGGAGATTTTCAGATATTTTGCACTCCTCTCTAATATGCTTGGCTGCATAAAATGGATGGTGTCCTATCTTGGTGTATAGGAGGGCATCAAGCACCCAGAGTTACTTTGCACTGGTATTTCATCAGTCTGAGGAAGTTCAGCAGCGAACTGATTGGTATGAAAATGCAACATGCACTCAGGTGGCTGGTGCTTCTGTCAACTGTTCCCATGACAACTCTTGTGGGTACCAGAATGAGACAGAAAAGAGAATAACTGGGATCTAAAGATCAGCTCCCTTGTAAATATGTACTGCATCATCACAGATAAAATGAGAACCAGCTGCAAGAAACACTACTTCTCTAACTTAACCTGGTAATTACAAAACAGAATTAAACTGTGCACAGAAATGCCTTATCCTGGGATCAAGGCACTTTTGCTCAAAAAAAAGCAAACATATGATCAAAATTAAAAGTGAAATGTTGCTCCTAGTCTCTAAAGCAAGAAAATACAGCCCTCCAAAAACAAATACTATCCCCTCAAAAAAGCCTGACATATGTAATAAGAGACTGAATATTTTTGGTATTTTCATTTGTTTGGGTGGAAACAGACTAATCTGGTTTCTGACTGGCTGCAGTCACTAAAGTAACTGGGGCTAAACAGCTGTCCCATCCCTTGCCATGTGGCCCAAGAGTAGCAGACCACTGTGGTACGGGAGGGGAGCCCTCAAAGGCCTGTCCTGAATTTTGAAAGTTCTGAGTGCCGAGCACGGATTTAAAAAAGATTAAATCAAAAACGTATTTCTATTTATTTTTTAATTAAAATTATATTTTTAAAAGCTATTTAAAATTAGATTTGACATTGACAACCTATGCTAAAGCCTAAATTTATTATATCTATTAAAATTATTTAATTAAATTAAAAAACTATTAAGCAGTACATTTGCAGCCAAGTTTTAAAGAAAGTCAATACAGTGAACTGGTGGAAGTCACAGGCTAAGCACCTAGTACCAGAGTCTGATGAAGTGCTAAATTACGGTAGTTCTTGACAGCAGGAGCCTCTTCTGCAGGTGCACAGAGAATATTTTCTTAATTTCAGTTTTTTCTACTAATTCAGTTCAGTGATTAGCTCATTCAAAATTAAGATGCCAACTGGGAGTTGCAAAAGCAGGAAAACCTGTTTTCTTCTTCTTCCCGTCTATGAATAAAAGCTATGTGTAAGAGGATGAGATCTACTAGTTCTAAAATGTTGACAGACATTGTGACCAGAAACAATCAGTTCAGTTCACTAGCTACCAATATAAAACACTGTTCTGTGCATTTTTAATTGAATTAGTATTTCCATCCAAATAGAACTTGAAAGAGTAAAAAATTAATCATCTAGGAAAAAGATAAACTATGTAATTGCTTAAATAAATGTACATAGATATAACATATCTTCCTGGTTAGCAAAAAGCAGCACCAGATTTAGTGTAAAGGTTATGTTTAGTTGCAAATTAGCATTTTTAATTGTTATCCACCAATGAGATTCAGCCTCTCTTAAATGGGTAAGTTATTTTCTTAAAGCAGTATAAATGCAAAACACGATTAAAATCAATTATCCAAATCAAAAGTTTCCTGACAGCTGATTTAAACCATGATTAAAATCAAACCACCCTATGAGCAACCAACAGTTTCCACTGATGCATAAAAGTTAGTCTCCTGTTTTGGAAAGTCTTGGCACATTTTTTGTAGCCTATTTGACAAAAGAGACGACACCACACGACATTCACTTCACACCCTTAAAATATAACCGAGTTCTTTGTCACAGCACACAAGCTCAAAAGGGAAGTATTTGTGGGAAAGATACTTGAAAAGCAGAGTCATCAGCCTGGATATGCTGTCCCCGCTGTAGTATTTAATTGCTTTAGAATTGTAACATAAAATGAATAATGAGACTGGAAATAAGATTTTGTTCCTTGTATACAAAGATTAATCTTCCTATATTACAGGATTGACCAAATATTCTGTAATGATAAATCCAATAGGGATGAACCTATTTAGCAATTGCTCCAACCTCTGAATTAGCATGATGAATTCTACATAATTTGGGTTTATGGCATGTCAGAAGCCTTTGAACTAGACTACTCAGAGCCTCTGTTTGGATGTGAGATAGCAAAGGGAACTGCAAGATGTGGCACGTCACTATTGTTTTAGTTTTAGAACTGCTATATATTTTTATTTCTGGCTTCACTACATCTCCATCTTATATAGAATTTAACTTTATATAAGGCAATCTTTTAGATTATGAAATCGTGATACTTCATATTGCAGTCAGGAGGAGAAACAAAACCAAAGTAATTCCAGGTTTTAAGAGATCATCTTAATAAAAGAGAGATCCTAAAGAAAAGATTCATTAGGATTATACCTGGTAGTGATCTTCTGATGGTTCTGGTGTAGAATAGTTCACATCCAATACGTCAGCAGGCGCCCATGGCAACAACATACACTTCCTGATTAAACGATCAGTTTCCCCATAGGCATAGTCACGAGTCACTTCCTCTAAGGTGGGATATAAAAGTAGTTGTAGGGTTGCTAGTCATTTTCCACCAACAACCTTCCCCACACCACATTCATGCAAATGACATAATTCAACCATAAATTATGTGACAACATCAATGATTAAAAAAAAAAAAAAAAAAAAAAAAGGAGTTTTTTAAAATGTGTAATTTAAAAGTATTACTTAGGGTTAGCTATATGTTCACATCTTAATTTTCCTCCCCCCAGGAGCTCCGCCTCATTCAGTGCACAGGATAGATGAAGGGTGCCAAATTAACGCTACCTGGGCAGTTTTAAATCTGTCATTTCCTTATCTTGAGTGCTTTACTTTGCAGCTTAAATAATGTCCCTGTAATGTAGTTTGTGTAATTTTTCTATCCACTGCTGTCTAACAAAAGCAGTTCAGTTGGACAACAAAGAGAAAAACTCTCCAATCCTTTGTTACTACAACAACAACATTTCCGGGCAGAGGAGGGCCTCCACATCCTCTTTAATATGAGTCATGATGGGAGTGAGAAGTTATAGCTATATGATGTTTTGCCACTGAAAAGGTAGAGGTATAAGTGTTCTAAAGACATGCAGGATGTTGGAGAGGTGGGGGGTGGTTTAAGCTCATACCAGAATTGTGATAAGATAGAATTGGTTTGGTATGTAAATTCAGTTGAGTTCTGAACTTTGGATAAAAAACAGATCACATACTTGATGTACAGACACACTTACCACCAGTTTCAAGGTCCCTTAAAGGCCAGAGAACCGTGTAAGCAATTTGCTGAGGAATGTAAAACAAAGGTGCAGTTGCAAAGGTAGGCTCATCTGAATGCTGAATTCGGGATCCAAATTCATCCATAATATACCAGACAGGAACCTTCTCCTCTGCAGTCTGGAAGGGAGTGGGGAAGGAGGGAAGAGAGAAGAAAGACACCCCTTACACAGCATACTATTAAAAGAATGTTGCAAGACAAAAGGGGTTAGGGGCTCATGCTAAACCCATATTACTATGCTCGGTTTCAACTAAACAAGATTTATGATTTTCCAGTGAAGGAAGAACTGATGATAGTATGACAGTTAAGACAATTTTGGATTAGCAGAAAGTGTAGAATAGTAATAAATAAATAATAAATAATAAATAATAATAATACGTAGATCTCATACAGTGCCTTTCATCAGTAGATCTTGAAGTGCTTTACAAAAGGAGGTCAGTATCACGATCCCCATTTTACAGATGGGGAAACCGAGGCACAGAGGTCAAATGACTTGCCCAAGGTCATCCAGCAGGCCAGTGGCCCAAACAAGAAAACCCAGATCTCCCGAGTTCCAGTCCACTACTCTATCCTCTAGGCCACTCTGCCGCCCAGAAGAGTACATTTAATAAAAACAAAAAAATAAAACAAAACGAACAACACTTAAAGAAGTGAGTTATCCTAATATTCCCTTTCACAGCTTTGTTTGTCAGCATACCTCATCACAGTATATCAGAACACCTACGCTCACTGTAGTTTACAAGCAATATATCACTACTGACTGCTAACAAACACACTTAACGCAAGCTTGCTTGCTTGCTCCACTGTATGCTGCCTTATTTGGTTTTAAGAGAGAGTTTATTCTCTTGTAAATTAAAGGAAATGTTTAAGAAAGGAAAAACAACCAACAGATTTCTCATTCTTCTAACTCCTCTTCTTTGCTGAATGTGCTTCCTTGTTACATGAAACTGGTCATTATTTAAGAGGGAAACCTTTATGGGTAACCCTTTGTTAAAATGTTGGCAGCTTCTCACTGCTTTTTACAATTGCAAGGCACTTGCTCTCCCTCTTCTGAGCAGCAGTCCATTCTTAAATGGCTCAAAAGGAGTGTTTTTATATTGAAGAGAGACATCTGTATTAGTTATCCATGTATTGGTATGATTAAATTCAGGATCCAGCAGAGCAGTTCAATATCCTTGATTAAAGGAGTCACTTACCCCTTGAGACAGCTGGTAGGTCTGGTTGTATTTCCACATTTCTTGCAACACCTGCTCAATAGCTCCCTCATCCGCGACCTCTCCGTGAAAGTCTATTCCCATGAGGTTTGCCATTCTGTGAAGCAGACCGGGAACGTGCAACAGCTGCTGGTGTGCATGTTCAACACGGTATGTCCAGGCATGGTCGATAAGGAAAATGCTAAGGACAGAATTTTAGTAATGTTACAACAATACGCCTCTTGTCAACACACACACAAAACAAGATGCATTTGTTGAGAAAGGCTGTGCTTTCTTGTAGAAGGCTCAACAGCTGAGTTATTTCTTCACCAAAATGCAGGGCTGCCCAGAGGATTCAGGGAGCCTGGGGTCTTCGGCGGCAGGGGGCCCCCGCCGCCGAAGACCCGGCACTTTGGCGGCGGGTCCCGGGGCGGAAGGACCCCCCACCACCGAACTGTCGCTGAAGACCCGGAGCGGAAGAAGCTCCAGGGGCCCGGGCCCCGCGAGAGTTTTCTGGGGCCCCCGGAGCGAGTGAAGGACCCCAATCCAGGGGCCCCAAAAAACTCTCATGGGGGCCCCTACGGGGCCCGGGGCAAATTGCCCCACTTGCCCCCCCTCTGGGCGGCCCTGCCAAAATGAGGGGTTTTTTTGCATTGCTAGAAGTAGGATTATCTTCCTAGTAGTACCCTCGGCTGAATAAAGTGTACTGTACAGTAACTATAATTTCCATAAAAGGTATGGTTGAAAGTTCAAGTACAGAAAGAGGAACTCGTAGTTTATAATCCTGGCTCTCCTCTGAGGCCTCTGATACACCAACCTTCCTGCTCCCTTGCCCACAATCTATAAAGTGGAGCTAGTAGTGCTCACCTTCCAATGAACCTGTGAAGAGTAATTCATGTTTGAGAAGGAAAGTGCTACATATTCAGGCTTGACGGGATTAGATTTTTATTGGTAAATGTCAATTTCACCATATACATACAAACCAACAAAAAAATTTCCTATAATAATTGAAATGTACAGATAAGCAAAGTAAGAAAAATGCTGCTGAAGAACTTAGTTTGATTTAAGGATATTTATTTTGTATACATTGACATGGGATATTGACAATCTGTGTTTTAACAGCCATAAAAGCTTCAACTTTGAGTCCCGGTGTCTACTGTTATTAAATATTGGCTGACCCCCCTATTGTCCAAAACACACCACAATGTCCCAATGTGAACATTTCAATAGCTAAAAATAGAAAAAAAAATGCTTAAAAATAAACACTGATATCATTCAAAATAGTTAAAAAAAAAAATGAATTCTCCCAAGCCTATGCATATTATTGGAACACAGTATTTAATAAAAACTTATTTGTTATAACTGATTATGGAACTACTGGGTAAGATCACATTGCTCAAACAACCTCAAACACTACAGAAAGAGAGAAATGCAGGAGCACAACTCCTCAATCCCACTTACTAGAAAATCTCAGTCTATATTTTTATAAGCCGCTCAAGAGTCATGAACATCAAATTCCCACTAGTGTTAGGGTACGTCTTCACTACCCGCCGGATTGGCAGGTAGCAATCCATTTATCTAGGATCGATATATCGCGTCTCGTTAAGACGCGATATATCGATCCCCGAACGCGCTCACCGTCGACTCCGGAACTCCACCGGAGCGAGCGGCGGTAGCGCAGTCGATGGAGGAGCCGCGGCCGTCGATCCCGAGCTGTGTGGACCCCAGGTAATTCGATCTTAGATGCTTCGACCTCAGCTACGCTATTTGCGTAGCTGAAGTTGCCTATCTTAGATCGATCCCCCCCCCCAGTGTAGACCAGCCCTTAAAGTGAATTAGGTGTCCACATCTCATAGAGCAAGACTTTCAAAGCAATCAAACACCTCAGAAATGATGTGGCCTCACCTGACCAGCAGTGCCCTCTTTTGGACTGCAGGAAGTTCACAGCAAAGGGTTAGTAGAAGAACTTATTTTCTGTTTTAAAACATTTCCCTGCCTTTGGTTATAACACTCTCTCTCACACTGATCTGGTTTGATTACTTGATAGAATTCTGAAAGGAAAGAGATTTTTGAGGAAAACTAAAAACCAAACCAAACATTTAGCTCTCATATATAATGCACATTAATGGCTTCTACGCCTCATATTCCCTGAACAAAAAAAAGCTCTAACTTTTAAGTTAAAAGAAAAATAGAGAGGTCAGAGGCAGCACTTTAATATCTCACCCTTGGAAATCTAGTTTCAAACTCTGATTAGGTCACAAATGCATGGATGTTCTGGTCCTAATCCAGTCACACACATTTCAACAGGTTGGTAATTTACACTCAAGAGAAGCACAAAGCGATCTTAGCTGGGGGTTTGAAGATCAGAATTTAGGTGTCTGAGTAGATTTATAAATGTGATGGACTTTTAGTAACCTTCCTCCACTGTGCATCTGCCTACTTGAGCCAGTGCTAGAAGTCTCTATTTATAAATACTAACTTTAGAGGTGGAACGACGGCAGGCGCTCCCTGCCTCCAGGTCAGTGTCCCCATGTGGGTGCAGGAGGGCTGCAACCACGTTCGCTCCCCGGTCCGTAATGAAAACTATTGGTACTGCTGTGTATATCAAAATCTTCTGAGTGCCCGAAAAACAGCCGATCGAATGTTCTCTGCAGTTTTTGGTTTCCCGCTCTCAAACCGAGTCACAAAGCACCCGCTCCACCATGTTGTGACTATGTAATGAACAGTTACTCCCAAATAGGCAACCTTTCTGTAATCATCCACAGATTGAGGGTAACCCCTTCAATCACTGTGCCAAGAATGTTTTCAGCTCCGTGGAGATTTGTTTTCTTATTCCACATGTTGTGGAATGTGCACACGCATCCATTTGACCATATCTGGCATCCATGTTAATCAAACATTGAGAATATGCAAGGAAGCCCTTGCCACTGACTATTGCTACAAACTTCAATAATTCTTGAGTCACACTTGTCTTCATGTCTCGTGTGATAGTTATACATTGCTTGGTAAATATCTTCAGCAAACTGGATCCTGGTTCTGGTCTACATTTATGTTTAAGTAATTTTGAAGTACCGGTTTTATGGCTACTAAAAATACAACTTTTTTTTGCATGTGACACATGCAACATATCCAGCCACAGTATCTCCCTTTTCATCAAAAAGATATCTGAATGTATTCCAAATTGGTGATTTGCTTTTCTTATTTCCCTTCAAACTGTATGCACCAGCACTTAATTTCTTTCTCCATTGACCACTGGCTTTTTAAATACAGAGTATGGAAACTTTTCTGGTGGCAACCGGCAAGGAAGTGCAGAGGGGTGATGCAGTGACGATTTCAATTTGAGCTGATGAACTGACAACGTGATTTAAAAAAAAAAAAAAAAAAAAAGTGAACTTTCACTGGTATTAGCTGAATCTGAATAAATTAGATGCATGGTACATAGGGTGCAAATTGCATGTTACAAGCCATAGAGTGCATGGTACAGAGTGCAGCATGCAAGGTGAATGCCTCATGCAGTCATATAAACCTGTGCCTCTTGATACTCATCCTTCTTCGGTGCACCCAGTAAGCATCATTAAAGGAGCCTATCCTGTGTCAACCTAAGGGTCAAGGGTCAGCTCTTGCTCAAATTATGCCTTCACAGATGCATAGGACAATTTGCATAAGTGTGAGGGCTAAACTTAGCCCTGAATTTCTCTTGTACTATGGAAATCCCTCTCTAGTGGATTTCATTTCCCTTAGGCAGAAGTGGTGGGTGTGGTTGCTGCATTAAATGGGTTTCTAGGTTGTATGTTCCCAGTTGCAAAGCTTTGTCGAGATACAAACCTCTCATTATGCCACACTCGCTGTATTTCCACCTTTTTTGGAAGTAGGATCTCAAAAGGCAGGGAAGCAACTGTCTGAAGCTCATATGCTCCCAGGTCTACAAGATAAAAAAACTGCACTGCCTTTTCACAGCAAGCCCAAACCAAGCCAATCCCATTTCTGAGGCACTGGCAATCACCAAGACAAAAAACAAGCCAACACTTCAATGACAAAGCTACTTAAAGAAAAGCAACAGATTACTTAATTTAAACGAATGGGCAATTACATCCTCAAAGAAGCCAATATAGGCTTGCTAAAGCAGAAGCTTCCCCCCTCCAAAGCCCCAAAACAAACAACAGGCTACTTAAAGAAGTGAATAAGCAATTAAAGTAACAAAGAAGTAAATTAACAGAGGGGTAGCCATGTTAATCTGAATCTGTAAAAAGCAACAGAGGGTCCTGTGGCACCTTTAAGACTAACAGAAGTATTGGAGCATAAGCTTTCGTGGGTGAATGCCCACTTCATCAGACGCAAGACATCTTGCTGGGGGCTGCCTTGGCAAGTTTATGCTGCTTCCCCCACTGGCAAGTTTTGTCGATGAAACTAACGACAAGGAAAAACCCCCCAACAAAAGCGAAGTCTCCAAAGCGTGTCTACATTTGCTCCCTCTGTCGACAGATCGTGTCCACATTCAGGGCACCTTTGTCGACAGCGAGAGCAATGGACTGTAGGTATGTATCCCACAGTGCCTGGCGACACCATCCGTCGCTAGGTGTTTTGAGAATGCGGAAACAGAGCGCGGCACATCCAGGGATGTGCAAAATGTACTGTCATGCACCGCTTTGTGTCCCACCCCTCCAAAGGTCGATGGCCTTCTTTCACGCCGTTTTCCCAACTGTCATTCTTTTGTAGTGCGCGCCAGCATCTGCAGTGAGAGAGGATGGATCCCGCACTTCTCTCCTATGCGCTGTTAGCTGTCGTGAGGACATCACGCATGGCAGCACAGTTACTCGCAGAGTTAGCAGAGGATGAATCGCAGGCACCCAAGTGCAATATGGACGGCAGCAACAAATCAATGCTTTGGGCATTCACAGAGCAGCTGCATACGGTAGAGCGTTGCTTTTGGGCTAGGAAAATAAGCACTGATTTGGTGGGATCGCATTGTCATGCAGGTGTGGGATGATGACCAGTGGGTACAGAACTTTAGGATGTGTAAAGCAACCTTCATGGAGCTTTGTGCTAAGCTGGCCCCCGACCTGCGGCGCAAGGACACCAGATTGAGAGCTGCCCTTCCAGTAGAGAAGCATGTTGTAATCGCTGTGTGGGAGCTGGCGAATCCAGACTGCTACTGTTCAGTCGCAAATCAATTTGGAGTGGGAGAATCCACTGTTGGGG